GCTTTCTGATTTAATGAGCAGGTTTCACGTTAAATGTTGCCTGATTCAGAATCTCTTATCAAGGTAGTCTGAGACTATTCCAAGAACAGAGAGTTTTAAGGAGAAGGAAACCAATTTCCTTCAAGTTAGTTCCTATATGAAAAATTTAATTATGTATAGTGAAATGATTTTTAAGAATGAGGTGATTATATGCAATTAAATTACTTGGTTTTAAAACAGCATGATACTAAGGCCTAAACAAAAACACTGTTTGCTTTTTACACACAGATGACTTAAGTGTGAAATAAATCTTATTTTAAAAGGCATAAAAATGTATACAACAGACTACTTGCTAAATGAGAGTGTCCTGGGGACTTGATCGCTCGAGTAAGTTCCAACATTGCTACACATAAAGAGTAGGGACGGAACTGCAGATGGACTAGATCTTTTGGCCAATATTGGGTTGAATGAGACTTTTGATATCTCAGCCATAATGAATAAAGTTAAATTCCTCTCCACCATAGCTTTTTGTTGCTGTTACTTATTTTTACTTATTTATTTGAATTGTAGCTACGGTTAGAACAGGTTTCCTGGGATTAGGAAGTGTAATTATTTAGGCAGCAAAAAGTTGTTTTAGAAATTTTACTATCATTAGGAAGAAGCTTTAAAAGGCTGGAATTCCATTGTCTTGTAAGAAGTAAGAAATATTTATTGATTCCCAAATGGAGCTGAAAAAAAAAAACCTTTCCTCTTTTAGAAAGTTGTGAATGACCCAGCGAGAGCTCTAGTAAGCTTTACTGAACCAAGCTGCTAATAGTTATTTAATGTTATTCTTCAGTGTGAAAGAATCTCCCTAGATTTCCTTTTTAATCTCTTTGAATTGCAGGCTCATAAACCTCTCTGATGAGTCCTGCCAGTGTTTTCTTAGATCCCATGTTGAGACAAAGGAGCTACAGAATTCTTTCACCTCTTGTTGTCAGACAAATCCAATAGAACACAGGGTCAGAAGGGCCTGTACTTCTGAAGGTTGAAAGATTCTTTTCCAAGTAACCACATAAATTATTTGATTTTATCATTATATTCCACAGGAATTTCCTTTTATAATGCATTGCTTTCTATATATCAGGAAATTTGGATCTTTTTCTGGTCTCTGTATTTAGCTAAGCTTTGGGTATAGCACAGGGTGTGAATGGACCTACATACCTTAGGAAAAGCTGAGCCCATTTACTTCAAAAGAATTAGGAATCTTGTAGTATAATTGGACTTAAGATAGAGTACCCAAATGCCACGCATTGCGTGTTCTTTCCAAATGGCTGGGTTTGTTTGTTTTTAAGTTATTACCATTCTGGAGCTAAGATTCCAGATTTAAATCTTGTACCTATTCCTTTTTTTTTTTTTTTTTGGGTATCTATTCCTTTAATTAAGTCGCTGCATAAGTCAGTATGTGTTTTCTCAGTATTTTTAGTAGTGTCATGTTAACAGGAAAACTTTGAGATAGAATTTATATTTTCAGATACCTATTGAAATATTTCATTGTAATGAGTAAAAATATTTGTAATATGTAATACTCAAAAGGAACTTACCTATTTTGCAGATGCCATGCCTGATTAGAAGACAATTATCAAAGCTAATTACAGGGTTCCTGTGAGTTACTTTACAGGCTAGGGAGGAATTAAGTTTTCTAATTATAACTACAATGGTGGACAAGCAGAGATCATTGTTTAAAAAGAAAAAAAAAAACATTGATTTGTTTGTGCTCCTTCCTTGTAATCGTAGTTAGTGGGGAAGTTGCTGTTGCCCCATTCCCTGGACACCTGCCTCTCAACAAAGGATTGTGGTCACCTCCCCACCCCCTACATTTAGATTCACCTTTTACTTGTATGTACCCCTTCTGCTCATTATACAGTTCTCTAGGGATCCAATTTTCCCTGAGTTAATCACCCCCAGCCTTTTTCAGAAGTTGTTAGATTACCATCTTTTCAGGGAATACACACTTTCTTAGGCTTTAAACTTCTTTTCCCTAACTTTTGTTTCCTTATTTCTATTAAAAAGTATAGCTCTTGGAGTCTCAGCACACTACTTTAAGACTTTTTGTTGAAATGTATCATACAAGCAGAGAAGTATACCAATCCTAAGTGACCAGCTTGATGCGTTTTCACAATAAATACAGCCATCTGACCAGCACCCAGAAGGTCCCTTGTGACTCCTTGGAGCCACCACTTTCCCCCACACCCAGTACCAAGGTGTCAACGCAACAACTCGGGGTAGTTTTGCTTGTTAGATTTTATGTAACGGGGAATCATATAGTATGTTCTCTCTTGTGTCAGGACTTTTAAAACCAGAACCTCAGAGAAACCTGGACTGTATCCACATAATATTAAATAATCAGATCAAATAGTTAGATGTTTAGATAGCCTCAGAACATGAGAATATTTTTTTATTTAACTCTGACCTTGGGCAAAGTACTAAACAGTTTTGCATTATTTTCCCTCTTATTATGAGATATCATCTAAGTTGATCTGTCATCTTAGAAATAGGTCGCTACTCCAAAGTAACTGTATGTAAAGAAAAAAATCATAAAAATATAAAGGCCCGTTTTTTTGAGGAAGTGGAATAGAGAGGTGCTCCACGTGAAACACTAGGTGAGCGTGACAGTAGCTTCATCGTGGAGAAGCACAGCAATATGCTGACTTCCTTGGCAATTCTCTTTGCCAGTTATTTCTCATTTATTATTTTCAGGTAAAAATAGCATAGTGGACATATGTGAGTGGGTTATCCTTTTGTGTAATTGCTGTATTGCAGGTGTCCAAGATAGGTTAGATTAAGGCTTATTCATCTTGTCCTTACCTCTGCCTTGTCTGATTTGCTTTAATTGATTTCCAAAATTATTGAAGATATCAATCAGATACCCTGGAATATAGCCAACTTGATTGTAAATTATTTACATCTGTTTTTCCTCTAACTACAGTCTGTTAAGTGCCAATTACCCCCATTCATAAATCTAAAAGTGTTTCATTTCTCCATTCAAGCAGACTTACCTTAGTCATTCTAAGAAATTGAAACATATGATTAAGATTTTTCTCTCCATGGGACTTTTAGGGAGAATTTTTTAAAAAACTAAAATACTGAATAATCTTTTTTTTTTTTAAAATACTGAATAATCTATAACCAAGTGTGCTTTATATAGAATGTAGAAATTGTTTTTGTTCAGAGATTACCTCACATACTGATACAGTCTGCATAAGCTGTTCAGTGGGCACAGAGATGAAGGAATTCCCCCACCCTCCGGCCACTGGGCAGAGTCTTTAATCTTTGGATTTTAGGGTCAGTTTAATAGACTGTTGGGACCTAGTAAATATGAAGTGATACAATATTTGACATACTTAATAGAAAACCACAGTGAGTTCAAAATATTGTATAATTTTTTCATCTATTTTAAAATTGTGTAACTCACCAATAAATTCTGAACAGGCAGTTATTAAATATAATTAAATTGTAGGCATTCACACAACGGAACAAAGGAAAGCATTCTCAGCAAGTGAACAAGAGACTAGTGAGACAGCTAAAGAAAATTTCATTGGGGTGAGGGGTGGATTTTAGTAGTTTCTTTTAAGCATCGACTTCTAGAAGAACAATACAAGCATACATGAAGTATAACATGCCTTTAAAAACAAAGACAAGTGCTTATCTATAGTTGCTTTCTTTGTCCCAAAGTATACTTGTTTTAAGAAAGAGTACATGCTTCTACTACCTAAACTATATGCTTACTAAATTTAGGTAGAATTCCAAGCTTCTTTGAACCTTCCACCTGCAGGGAAAACTTTGGCCTAGGAAATAGCAATAGAACATCAACACAATACAATTGTATGGTTATTGAAACCTTTTAAAGTAAGTCTTTAAGTTACCTATCCCTCTCTTGCAAGCAATTAAAAATCAGGTGACCCTTACATTGGTTAGAGCTTTGTTCTTTAAAATACTTTTAGATGGGGAGGCTGGGTGGCTCAGTCGGTAAAGCATCTGCCTTTGGCTCAGGTCATGATTCCAGGGTCCTGGGATCCTTGCTCGGTGGAGCGCCTACTTCTCCCTCTCCCTCTGCCTGCTGCTCTGCCTGCTTGTGCTCTCTATATCCCTATCAAGTAAATAAATAAAATCTTTAAAAATAAATAAATAAAACACTTTTAGACTGATCTCATTGGATTAGAACAACACACTAGTGTTGGTCTGTTCTGTCCTAGCAAATTCCATAGACTGCGTGGCTTAAACAACAGAAATTCATTTCTCATAGTTCTGGAGGCTGGAATTCCAAGATCAAGGTGCCAGTCAGTATGGTTCCTGGTGAGGGCTCTCTTACTGGCTATAAATGGCCTCTTTTTTTACTGTGTCTTTATTTGATACTTTCCTTGGTGCTTGTGCATGGAGAGAAGACCCTCTTTCTTCCTCTTATAAGGCCACCAACTCTATCAGATTAAGACCCCACCCCACTCTTATGGTCTTACTTTACCTTTATTACCTCATAAAAGGCTTATCTCTAAATACTTCAACATAAGAATTTTGGGGGGACACAGTTCAGTCCATAATAACCCTTCTGAAGTAGATAAGAGATAACTGAGTGTATCTAGGGTATATTTCTAAGGTTAGAAAGCTAGTGAAATATCACAGCTAAGGTTCAAATACAGTTATTTTTGCCCAACCCCATGCTGCCTTCCTTAGTTACAGGTATTGCTTGACAAAAAAATTCCACAAAAATAGGGGTTACTAGTTAATCACAAGGAATCACCAAATCAACTCCATGGTTTTTGCATGTTGCATATTTGTGGAAAATGGGATAGATCTTGACTTTTGAGGTTCGTAAGAAGTGGACTACAAGTCAGGTAGCCTTAAAACTGCTGTCAAAAGTAGTAAACTAAGTTTTTAAATGGCAAGTAAATTATAGCTGTAGTCAACGGGCTGCAGTTGCCTTTTCAGCTTCTTCATGGTTATGATTAAAGTGTCAAATAAATGTTGCATTTTATATTTTACAGAAGATGATCTAAGAAATGTGGGACCAGTAGATGCTCAAGTATATCTTGAAGAAATGTGTTGGAACGAAGGTTGGGATTTTTTTCTCTTGACTACAGTAAAGGAAAACATTAGGGATTTTCTTTAAGAAGAAAAACTCTTCTGGGATATTTGGAAATCTTAAAAAATAGTAATAGCTTGGCTTTTTAAATATATAAACGTGGGTGGTTTTAGGAATTTTTTCATTCTAAACTTCAATTATTGATGTTCCTCTATATGACTCATTTCCAGTTATTTGTCTAGTCTAAGTAGATGTTAGGTATAGAAGGTTTCATGTGGTTTTCTTTTTTTAAATTACTTGGGTTTTGGTTTACTTTCCATCTGTGTAATAGGGAAGATAAAGTTAATATTTTCCATCCTTCCTGTGTTGACATAGGAGATGAATTTTCTATTAGAATTTTTGTTTATTTTTATTTCTTTACATGGCAGGGCAGGGCTTTTAATACTGTACTCTTCTGCTTGGAGCTTGGTTTTTACCCTCTCTTTCTTGATTTTGTTAGGTGGAAAAGAAAAATTTGTCACTCCCTTTACCCACCCACCATGACATCTTGTCTTTTTTCCCTTTTGTATTATTAAAATTTTATTTTATTTTATTATTTTATTTTGAGAGAGAAAGAGAGTGTACATAGAGGGAGAGGGACAAGCAGACTTTGTGCTGAGCCTGACACAGGGCTTGATCTCATGACTGAGATCATGACCTGAGCCGAAATCAAGAGTCAGACATTTTAACCAACTGAGCTGTGCAAGTGCCCTCTATTACTAGAATTTTACAACTTTAACTTCTCTCCTGTTCTGATAGTTTTGTGAATTGCTTTGGCTAGAAACTGTAGAGCCCGTATAGAGCCCACTAATATCACACATCTGTGTTTCTCTGGGAAAATGAAGAAACTCTTCCTATTTCTTAGCATTTTTATATACTTTAACCCTGTACCTATTGTTCAGCCTGGAGTAAAAATTCCCTAGCACTTTATAAAAATTGACTAATGAATGTGGATAGGCAGAAGATAAACTCAGCTTTATGACACAGGTGAAAAAAAACCAAGATGGTGAAAGAAATGTACAACATGAAATTGTTATGTGTTACTATCTTTGGAATTTCCTTAAGTAAACCTGACAGTGAAGATACAGAAGAATCCTAACCACAGCCAATGAATCAGTTATTAGAAGCTAGAGTTACTCTTAAAAGTATAGGACATCCTTTGACGCTTATTATTTATTTATTTCGATGCTTATTTAAATTAAGGGTTTTTTAATAAAGAGGGAAGCAATCCTTAATCTTATGAGCAGCAAATAGCTGCATGAAGCCATTATTTCTGCAGGGATATTTATAAATTAGTAATATAAGTTTTGTAGTTGAAAAGAGCAGTCTTGGCAGATGAAAATTCAGTAAAAAGTACAGTCAGCTGGGCAAATAAAAAAAAAAATTGTTTGAAGATTCCCTCGTGGCCGTTTTCAGAGTAACCTTGGAAAGTGAAGATCCAGAGGCAGGAGAAAAGTAGATGAAACCCAACATGATAGATAAAGCCAGATTACCTATTCTTGATCCAAGGATAGTATGAAACAATGCCTGTTATTACTCTTAAAAGCCATCCCTGAAGAACTGTTGAGAGAGTGGTTAACCTTTCTCCTTAGTCTGTTGTACAGCTTGGTTATTTTGTCTTCAGTGTTTTTAAAATGATTTCTGTGAAGATACCACGTGTTAAGTAATAGAATAATATAAGAAATGTAACAAGATGTGTATTTTTAGTGAGCATTAACATTTGGAATCATCTGTGACAAAACTCCCCAGTAGCCCATGGTGGCCTCTGCATCATTTACTGAGCACATGTCACCTCAGATTGTTTCTGAGTGTTCACTGAGGTGGTAAAAAAATAAGATGGACATTTAGCTTTAGAAAACCAATGGTTAGAATATGTGCATTTTTAGACAAGTTAATAATGAAACAATTCACTTTTGAAAGCATGCTACTACAATATATATGTTGCCTCAGACAGGAAAGATGTTAGCATTTTAAAATTCCAAGATTAAATTATTTTTCTTTACGGATAAAAAAGGCATTGTGGTAAAAAAATAAAAAGGAAGATTGGGTGAATGAATTCATGTTTTTGTTACTGGTAAAAGAAACATATAAAGTTAGCTTATTTAATTTTAATTTTTCCAAGGCCAAATTTGATTAGAGAACAAATACAAGGCAGTTGAATTTTTTCTTTTCTTTTTTTCTATTAGTGGCATATTATGAGATCTGAGTGTTAAAGAATGAAGTCTGCTAACTGAATAAAGATATTTGATGTACCTCTAGTAAATTATGACCGTCATACAATAAGGTGATCAGTAATTATTTTTCTTTTACAGTCACTTCTCAGTGACAGCAAAATGGAATGACCAGTGGATCAGATTCTTTCAGTTAAAGGACATGAGCATTTCCGCTTCCCAAGAAAATGGTAGATTTAATAAAATTTCCACCATTAGTAGGCTAAATGTTGCGCCATATCATCTCTGTTGGGCATCTCACTTCACAGAAATAGTGTGATACTAGAACAGAGTATCTGAATGTTGAACTTAAACAGTTAAGTTAGCAGGACGCCTGGATGGCTCAGTTGGTTTAAGCATCCACAGGCAACAGCTCAGGTAAGGATCAAGCCCTGCATCAGGCTCCCTGCTCAGCAGGGAGAGTCTGCTTCTCCCCCTCCCCCCACTCATGTTCTCTCACTCTCAAATAAATAAATAAAATCTTAAACAAACAAACAAGAGTTTTCTCTAAAAGAATATACTCCAGGCATAAGCATGTAGGGCTATTTCTCTTTCCTTCACAGTAGTATTTTTGACAAATATATTGTTGAGAAGAATGTAAAATTTATGTGGATCTTAAGAAAACAGAAGACTTCAGATAAATGTCCTGGGTCGCTTCTGAGCTTCTGCTCTCCCCTCAAGATCTTTGGGCTGTTGATTCATAGCTTTAGTCCTCTACAGCTCTCTTCTACATATCAAGATTTTTTAGTAGGTAATTTTTAGAAACACTGCCCCATACAAGAATTCGTTTCAAGTTCTCGTTTAAATATGTTTTATACTTAAGGTACTTCTTTCATTTTGGAATTTCTGTGATAAACTGCATTTTTAAAAAGGTGTTGAAATAGTTACTTACAAGTGTTTGAAGCATTATTTTTGTTTTTTGTTTTGTTTTGTTTTTTTTACAGATGATGACTCTTTTTCTCTGAGTTGCCGGTGTGGTGGAAAATACAGGGTTTCCAAGGATGAAGCGGAAGAAGTTACCCTGATTTCTTGTGATACATGTTCATTAATTATAGAACTCCTTCATTATGGCTGAAATTGTTCACTAAATGATCCTTTAACTCTGTATTCAGACATGTTGAAGAGAGCCCATTCAAGTAAATGTATAAAGCTGATAAAAAGAAGGAGGATTCTTTTTTTTTGGGTCAGCTTTTATTTGCAGAGAAAGTATAAGACTGTCAAGCAAGGGCTACCCCAGATTAACAGAAAATTCATTTAGTTATTTATATGTATTTATACTTTCTATTTATAGATCACCCCCCCCAAAAAAAGACTTGAATTATTAAGTTCTATTTTGTGAATTCCTATCTGAGAACTTTGTTATTTGGTCCATTTTTTCCTTGGTATAAAATAAGAATTTTCCTTTTCTTTAAGTATGTCTCTTCTTATAATGGGTCACAGTATTATCATGTTCCTTTATAGTTACTGGGTTTCTGAAGTAACATGCCATTTCTAGCTGCTAAAGTTACAGGCCTATTGTACAAGTATCTCAAAGTCTCAAGTCATTAAGATTAAACTATAATCTTTGTAAATAACATGTGAGCCTAGTACTCCCATAATGAGGGCTGGATATGGATATTCACGAAGTTATTTCAAAGTTGATAAAGAAGGTGAAATGACAACTGTAGAAAAGATAGCTTTTGGAGTAAAGACTTGACTCCAGTCCTGGCAACTCTATTTCCAGATTCTTCGTGTGGCTACGTTAAAGGGAATAAAGTTTAAACACTGCCATCTTCAACTTTAAATGTAACTTAGGAATGGTAGCTCTAAAAAAAATAATCTGAAACTGACACATTACTTCCTTTTTTATTTCAAAGTACTAAGTATTAATTCCTGTATTTATGAATAAGGAACCATTGCATTGCTGGTATGAACAAATGGACATTTATAATGTTATTATTGATTATAATGGACTCTAAAGATTTTATTTTTCTCTATCTTTGATATCCTATATACAGTATAAGTCAGGACTCATTTGAAAAGATTGAGGTATCCTTTATAGGATCACTGGAACTTTAATTTCAAAAGAGTGAACCAAGTATGTGACTTAGCAGGTTTTTATTGGTTGAATTCATGGTATTACTGGTTTGGACTTGAAAGACTAGTTACTACTCTGATGTGTAAATGTAGCAAAAGTATGAGGCACAGTCAAGAAAAGATTACTTTCATTTTAACTATTAAACCAAAAATTCAGAAGTGAGGTGGTCATCCAGGTTTTTTCCCTAAAAATATTTTTTTTATCTATCATAAACTTTAGATTTCTTATCTTGGATTACATTTTTATCCATATATTTGGAACTAATAGCACTTGCAATATGTATCATTTATTCTTCCATATAACAATTACAAATGACTAAAACTAAGTAGCAAATAGTTTATTAGTAAGTATATGGTTTCAGTGGCAATAATAAATTCACTTGTAGGGAATAATCAAAAGAATAAATGCTTGCTAATCGTCAGAAAATCTGTGGCCATTAGGGCTGTCACGGAGAAATCCAAAATCACTCAGAGGCCAAATCTGTAAAATTGAAATGTGATTGAAGACAGTTAATGAAAGTGTTACATCATCATCATTCCTTTTATTCATCCCTTTTCTCTGTGCAATGTAATTAAACACTTTCTCCTTATTTTTAGTCAAGAACAAATTTTCTGTACAAAATGAGACTTTAGAAAGTAAATTTGTATGTGTATATGTATTTAATTCTAAAGTTTGGAACGCTGATATGTTATACAAGAATTTATATGTTATGTGGTATATGAACGTAATATGTGTGTCTGTGGCTTTTTTTTACTACCCTCAAAGTTAACTATAAACCCAAGGATTTAAATATAACCTCTGCATAAGTGTGAAGAATCCTGCAGATTATCCAACAGCGTTCAGGTGTTTTTCTTCTTACTGCTGTGGCAAAAAGGAGGAGCCAGTGAAAATAATCATCTTTCCTAAGAGTCCTTCATTTATTATAACCCTGGCAAGTCAATGTACTTAACTGGGATATCCCCACTTAGCAGTGTAGTTTGACTACACTGCTCTTCTGCAAATGCATACTTACGTCCAAGATATGAATATAGTTGTACAAGTTGTATGAGAAAGAATTACATTCTGGAGATATAAATTAAAGGCTTCTTATAGCTAAGGTTGTTTGAACTTTATTATTCAAATAAACAATTACTCTTAATTACCTGTCTCAGTAGGGAAAAAGGTAATGTTTATAGCTACGAAGGCCAGCATGTTCATAAAATGTAGCTGCTGTAACAGTTAAGTCCATTGACAGCCTGAATATTTCAAAGCTCATTTTGAAGGAAAATATTTTTCTTCCAGCTCAGAGAAGAAAACCTACAATTTAAGCAGAAAATAATACCTTGAAAAAGATACGTCCTCTTATTAGTCCATATGGAATAGGTCCATAATACCTGGAATCTGTAGAATTCTGTAGATTATCACCTTCTAACCAAACGTGACCCGTTGGCACCTAGATTTAGAGAAGAAAGCAGCCCCTTTAAAAAACAAACAAAAAACCAAATATGGGTAGTATAAATAAAAAAGCATGTCTTTTGGTAATAGGGAGAAATGTCCTAAAGTTCTTGTTTATAAAACACACACCCTATGATCTGTATTTTTGCTTTTATTTCTTGCACAATAAAATATCTTTTATTAAATACTAGTAATGTTAAGGTTTTGTCATTTTAAAAGACCTATCTTTTTTGCCACATGGTTCCCAAACATTAATTTGTTACACAAATCCCAAACTGAGGTTATAAGAGATCAAAACAGTGTGACAGGGTCATTAATTTAATAGACTTCAAAAGAGGTCATTAGGATGCTGACTGAAAATGTGCCCTCCTGTCTCTAAAACAGCATAAACAGGGCAGCCACTCACTCAGCAACATCCTGGGGCCAGTACCAAGGCCAGACCTATTAGAGTGCTCATGATGAACTAAATGGTAATTGATTGTGACATCAATTACAAATAATCTCATCATTTTATTGGAGTGGGCTTGTCAGAATTCTAATTAAGATCCCTGTTCTGCCTTTGTACAGGCCATATCTTCAATGCATTATACTTCAGTAATGACCATCAGGAACTAGAAGGACTTATTATAAAATCATCAGTTGTAAAATGAATGATGGTGACCTTCTACTAAATGAAAGACCCTATCTCCTATATTGTCCTATGTACTGATAAATAACGTAAGTTTACAATTTTACTCAATGTAAACCATAAAAATATTTAGAACAGAACATGTTAACTTAAAAAAAATGAGCTCTGTGAAATGAAACATTTGCCCATTAAAAAGTTACTCTGCAGCAATAATCCTTAAAGTAGCACTTTACAATACAAGTTATTTTATAGTTTCTTTTACCCAAGAAACTTGAATTACTGACCAGACCAAGATGATCTACTGGGAAGGAATTTATTTTCACTTTTCTTTTGACTAGCTTTTTATGACTGGGGAACTTTACGTGAAGAAAAATACTCCTACTGGGTTAAGTAAGAAATGACTGCAATTTTTCAAAATGTTACAAATTATTGCTTTTTAAAGACTTTATTTTTTAGTAGTTTTAGGTTCACAGCACAATTTCCCACCCATCTCCTGTCCCCAAACATTCATGACCTTCCCCACTATTGACATCCCCTACCACAATGCTGTATATTTGTTATACTTGGTGAACCCACATCAATATCATAATCACCCAAAGTCCAGAGTTAATTTAGGGTTCACTCTTGATGTTGTACATTCTATGGGCTTGGACAAATGTATGACATGTATCCACCACTATAGTATCACAGAATATTTTCACTGCCCTAAAAACCTTGTGTGAACCTTGTGTGAGCTGCCTTATTTGTGTCTTCCCCCCTCCAACCCCTATATTACCTTTTGGAAAAATAAATGTATACAAGCATGTAAAATCTGAATTTCACTTTATATCAGAGATTATATAATTTTGGAATGCCTTATGTAGGAATGTTTGTCCAAAACAAATCAATTATTTTAAATACATACATTTAAATGTTAAATCTATTTGTAGAGAAAGAAAAATTTCCTGAAAGAGTATCAGATGCTGTAAGATCACTTACTTTTTTTCCCCCACTATTAGTGGAACTAGTTATAGGGCCAAGAGTATGACTAATTCGTATCTGTTTAAGTGGATTTATGTGCAATGAACCTTAATATTGTTCAGGTAGAAAAATGAATCCATCTCAGATCATAGATGAAAAAAAAAATACCCCAAAAATAGTATATTTGGAAAAGCCATGTATCATTAACATAGTCTCAAGTGCCACTATGGGAGAAGCTATAATACAACTTTTATGTTTAAATTTCCATAGTTTCTCCTTAATGTGTGTTTCTGAGTTCTAAAAAACAGGTAATAAGCCAAGATCCAATATATATTCCACTTCTTCATGAAGCTTTCCCAACCTTGCCTGCCCATACCAAATACTCTTTGATGGTTTAGAACATTTACCATACAAAGTCTGTCTTGCCTGGGGCCCTAGATTATAACATTAGCTTGCTTGGCTTTTGTTTAAGTCTATTATTTTATGACCAAATAAGCCAACAGACCGTAATCATGTCATGATCTTAATTCTTTACAACACCTAAGCCAAATATTTGGTGGTTTTTATCTATAATGTAAGTAGAAATTCTTATAAAGCACAATCACTTTTGTATGACCCAACTTTCTTCCAAATTAGTTAAATAAAGTGATGAAGTGTTATCTTTGGTATAATAAAATTAACAAGTACAGAAAGGAATCTGCTAAGAGAAATCTAGAACTTATTACCAGAAGCCTTTGGAAGAGTGACTCAGGCTATCTTGACCTAATCCTTGAATCCAACAGGTGGAATATAAAGAAGGGAATAGTAGAGCAAACCAGTGTATATACATGGCTTTCTAGTTTATTTATTTTTGAAAGATTTTATTTATTTATTTGACAGACAGAGATCACAAGTAGGCGGAGAGGCAAGCAGAGAGAGGCGGGGAAGCAGGCTCTCCACTGAGCAGGGAGCAGGGGCTCCATCCCAGAATCCCGAGATCATGACCTGAGCTGAAGGCAGAGGCTTAAACTACTGAGCCACCCAGGTGCCCCTCTAGTTTATTTTAAAAAAAGAAAACAGAACTCAATTTACCCTTAAAACAAGTTGTGAAGTACTATTATTGATAGTTAATAGAAGCAGGTTCAAATATGGGACATGCTAACTCCCATTTATGTTAAGCCTATACATTCTAATACCCATGCATCCATTTACAGTAAAGGAATATCCTCTACCTCTCAGACTTAGTGCTTGATAGTACACAAAGCAAGAAAACAACCTCATCGTTGATGGAACCTTTAATAAGAACTTCTCTATAAAAAGGAAAACCTCTAAGTTGGATTTTTTTTTTTTAAAGATTTATTTATTTATTTGTCAGAGAGAGAGGGAGAGAGAGCGAGCACAGGCAGACAGAGTGGCAGGCAGAGGCAGAGGGAGAAGCAGGCTCCCTGCCGAGCAAGGAGTCCGATGCGGGACTCGATCCCAGGACGCTGGGATCATGACCTGAGCCGAAGGCAGCTGCTCAACCAACTGAGCCACCCAGGCGTCCTTAAGTTGGATTTTTTAAAATCAAAGCAGTCACCTTGGCTGACCTATTACTCAGTGTCCAGTAAAAATTCATGAAGCTGAAATTAATTCCACTTATTTTGGGTATAGAGTAAGAGAGTACAGTGTTTTAAAGTAACACTTTAAAAATCGGTTTTTTAGAGGTATACTTTATAGTAAAAAGCACTCATTTCAAGTTTGACACTAGTTTTGGAAAATGTGCACACCTATGTAACTGCTGATTATAATCAAGATGGAGAACATTTTCATCATGCCAGAAAGTTCCCTCCTGTGCCAGTCAACCTACCATGCATATACCTGGTACCAGGCAACTAGTGAGATCTGTTACTGGAATCCAGTTTTACCTGTTCCTAAGCTTCATATAAGTAAGATTGTACTATATTTTGTTTCTGGCTTTGTTCATTTTTTTTTTTATGATTAATCTAGTATGTATCAGTCATTCATCCCTTTTTACTTCTAAGTAGTATTCTATTATAAATCACAATGTTTGTCCATGAATCTGTTGATGGATATTTTTCTTTGCAGTTTGGAGCTGTTAAAAATAAAGCACTCTAAACATTAATATGTAAGTCCATTTCTTTTCAGTAAATACCAAGGGGTAGGATTTCTAGGCCATAAGTGTATGCCTATCCTTAATCTTTTCCAAAATAATTGAATCATCTTATAATCTCAGCAGCAATGTTTGAGTTTTCTAGTAAATTGCTGGTATCACATTGTGGTTTTCATTTGCAATTCTCTGATGAACATTTTTTCTTATGCCTATGTGAAGGGTCTATTAAAATACTTTGCTTATTTTTTAAATGGGTTGTTTTCTTACTCATTTTAAGAATTTTTTTTTTTTTTAAGATATTTACTTATTTACTTGACACAGAGAAAGAGTGTGCACAAGCAGGGGGAGGCAGACAGAGGGAGAAAAAGAGCTTCTGAGCAGAGAGTCCCAACATGGGGCTCAATCCTATGACCTGAGCCAAAGGCAGACACTTAACCAACTGAGCCACCCAGGCACCCCTCTTCAGAATCCTTTATATATCTTGAGTATAAGTCTGTGACAGGTATTACAAATACTTCCTCCTAGTCTGGGATCTTTTCTTTTGCCATTTCTAATGTATTGTAAAGCTATACAATGTTTTCTAAGTTCTATATATTCATTTGGTTCTTTTTGATATTTACCACTTCTTTCCTCATTATTTTCATCCTTCAGATCCTTGAAAATATTTAGAATTGGTGTTTTAAAGCTGTGTCTGTTAATTCCATTACTTCTATTATTTCTGGATCTATTTACTGATTTTTCTTCTGGTTATGGGTACACTTTACCTTTTCACATATCTTGTAGTTTGTGACTGAGCTGGACATTGATTTGTTGAGTGGAATTTGTTTTCTTTATAGTGTGTTGAATGTTGAGGAGGTCAGCTTGTTTTGGGGGAGGCAGGTAAGATAGCTATGGATCAGCTTAGTCCTTTCAAGCCTTGTTTTTAAGCTTGTCAGGTTGGGTCTATCTCACACTGTACTCTTAGGGCTACTTTAGGCATACTACTAAGTAAGGCATGATATGATATTCAGGGATCTCTACTGAATGTCCTGGATATTCAGTGAGATCTGTCCACTCTGGCTGGTCAGAACTCCAGTGGCTCTCGGCCCTGTGTGAGCTCTGGGAATTGCTCAGCTCCAATCTCCAGGTTTCACTGTTAGCAGGCACAATTTAGAATTCAGCTCAAAAACCAAGAGAACACCTAAGGAGATTGATGGTGATCGTTCGGTAGCTTTGTTTTCCCAGGTAGTTTGATCAATACGTTCCAACCACTTAAACTTCTCTCTATCCCAATCTGTCTCTTCAGCTCAGCAAAATCACTACTCTTTGACTTGAATTT